TTTTGGGTCTAGTTTCTTTGACGGAAGGGGGACATTCTTCTTCAGTCCTGGAGGGATACTCGCTTTGTGAATATGGTTTCCACTATTCACAATTCGAGCATGGTCGATGTTCAAAGATGACACGGGCAAGTAAAGAAGCCTCTTTGTATTTAGGAGTATAATATGTTCATGAAAGGAGTTGATAGGGCCGACCAGTTCTTGGCCTATTATTCCCTTCCTAGGAAAACAGTAAAATGGACGAAGAAAGTTGCACTGTGGCTTATAAACTGTGCAATTTTCAATTCATTTACGGTTTTCAAAAAGGTGAACAGAAATTCTACTTTGAAATACAAAGCATTTCTGTTGAAACTGGCAAAAGCTTGGGCTACTGACGTCATGGTGGCAGTAGTACCTGCGTCAGACACAGACGTAGTGCAGCCGGGGCCATCTGTTCGCACCCGCCAGAGGCCTCAAGTTCCCTGGCCAACTCTCGGGTGATATGTGGAAACATATTCTCGTGAAAATTGTGAAGAGTGAATATTGCAAGAAGAAACACCCTTCTAGGCAGTGCCGTGTGTGCGCAGAGCACAAGAAGAAGAGTAGAACTGCCTACATATGCAACTTGTCCCCAGGGAGATTTAAATGTTTAAACCACCGGTCCGCAATGTGTTAAACCTGTTTACATTAGATGGCTTGTTATTCCAAGGTTAATACAAGTATAATTGTGGGGATATCTCATGTTAAAATAATAAAAAAACATATCTTATTAGAACTAAAATGAGTGAAAATATGAAAAATTTTTAAATTACAGCATGCCTTCAAGTCATAACCTTTCTCAATATTTCATACATAAAAATAAAGCATGTCAAAATTTTTATTTTATTAGCCACACTGAAAATATCAAATTGTCATGTACATCAAATACATTTAAAGAAATATTTTCACATTACCATTATTTTAAGCTGATGCTTATGGCAGAGTAAAAGAGTTCCATATATCTATGTAGGAAAAGGAACATCTGTGCAACTCAAATTTTTGTAAGTAATAACATTCAGTCAACTGAGCTGATACCATATAAATATTTTAGGATCTACATCAAAATTTCCTTTTATATATTTTAATTTTCAAGTAATTCTCAAATTCTTGCCCATAAAATCCTATGTTACTCAGAGGGAATTTATTCTTTTACATGTACTTGCCAGATTGAGTGGCTATGGCAGAAGTCTAGAGCTGATATAATCTGACGGAAGAAACGTCGTGCTTCTTTCGGGGTAAGACGGCCTTTCTTCACCAAGTAGTCAAAGAGTTCACCTCCAGACACATGTTCCAGCACTAAGTACCTGCATTAAACATGAAATAATTCCAGATATGTGTGTATCTCTAGCACACAGCGGGCAGGCCCAAAAGAACAGATGTGGGATGGTCTCATGATGTAAGGCATTATCACAGGCACTACAGTTCCACTCCTATGTGTATGTATGTATGTGTAAGGGTTAGTCCATAGAGGAAGCACAATAGATCACTGAAGGTCGCAGTGCAAGGGCCAGATCTTATGACCCACTCCTTACACACGTATATACAAGTATAATTCACTGAATGTTTATCAGTATTTGTGGGGAGGGGGGATTGTGTGAAAAATTAAACATTTTATATGCATGAAATTGATCATGCTGCCAAAGTCTCTTCTTGATCGCAACAAGTCATTTTACATGAAAAAACATGGTTCATTTTACCAGCAAAAGATTTCAAATTTAGAAAAAAAAGCAAAACCACTTATAATTTTTAAACAGCTTGTATGATTTCAGCCCTGATGTGCTTACTGGGTAAAATGCAGCCCTCCACTGGTCCCTATCCTAAGCCATATCAATTCAATCCATACCATCCCATCCTATCTCTCCAAGATCCATTTTAATATTTTTCAACCTTCCCAGTGGTCTCTTTCCTTCTGGCTTTCACACCAATATCCTATATGCATTCCTTTTCTCCCCCATTCATGCTACCTGCCCTGCCCATCTCGTTCTCCTTTTCTTGATCATTGTAATTATACTTGGCGAAGAGTACAAGTTATGAAGCTCCTCATTAAGCACTTTCCTCCAACCTCATGTCACTTCATCTCTCTTTGGTTCAAATATTCTCAACACCCCATTCTCACACACCCCCAGTCTATGTTCCTCCCTTAATGTCAGAGACCAAGTTTCACACCCATACAGAACCACAGGCAAAATTATAGTTTTGTATATTCTAATTTTTATGTTTTAGGACATGGTAGCAAGCATTACCCCCGAGTTCAATTTCTTCCTGAATCAGGTTTTGATTTGTTATTGTCATTCCCAAATATCTGAACTGTGCCACACTTTAAAAACATCTGTTACCTATCTTTATATTACGATTTTGCCCAGCAGTTTGGTGACGAGAGAGCAACATATACTTAGTTTTTCTGTGTTTACTTCTAGACCAAACCTCTTTACTTGCATCAATTAAAGTTTGTATGTTTTTCTTTACGGTATATATATTATCACCCAGTAGATTCACATCATCAGCATAGACCAACACCTGATGTGTCCCATTTAACTTCAGTCCAACCTGGTTTTCCTGGACCTTCCTAATGGCATATTCTAAAGCAAAGTTGAAAAGGAGTGGCAATAAAGCATCTCCTTGTTTTAGACCATTCTGGATAGGAAATTTATCAGACAAATGTTTACCTATACAGAATTTACTATATGTTTCATTTAAACACATTTTAATCATCCTAACAAGCTTCATGGGCATCCCAAACCCTATCAGAATATTGTACAATACTTCTCTCCTAACTGAATCATAGGCTTTCTTGAAGTCTACAAATAGCTGATGTAGTGTCTCTTCGTGCTCCCATTTTTTCTCCAATATCTGACAAAAGTTTATATATGAAAGCAACAGAAAATATACTTAATATTCAAGCCAAATTTTAAAATTTGAACATTAAAATTTAATGGCATTGGATATGCATTTTAACTGATTACTCATTTAACTGCCTAAAGAAGGTAAGTGAAGAAACCCAGTGGTGTGGATTGCAGCTGAGCTACTCACAGGTACTTCTTGTTCTCGTACACATCAGATAGTCCTAGAACATGGGGGTGGTCAATCAGCTTCATGATGGCTATTTCCCTTTCAACCTGGAATAAGGAACCAGGAAGTAACAAGCAATCAATAGCAAAGCTCATGTGGGCTGGATGAGAAGAAAACACTGTTAAAAACAGTATATTACCCAGCCCCTTAATGAAAAATCATAATGAGGCCATGTTGAATTATTCACACATAGTTAATAGCACGAATATTTACATAAGGGTCAAAGTTTAAAAAGATATGTAGACAATATAGTCTAAAAGGTTGTGTGTAACAATGATTAAGAAACATGTAAAAATAATGAAAATTTCAACACTGTTTCATTGCAATTCTTCAGTCCTATTCAGAAACATGTTCAGAAGTAAAAAAATAATGAAATAGAAACCTGACATGTGCATGAATTGACAGGAACAGAAGGAGATCAATAAACAATGAAATGGTGATTATTCTGATGGTGGTTTTGAAGTTTGTGTTTAATTAACACAGTAGACTTCTAAAATTTGTTATCAGTGTTATTAACAGTAGCATAAATTCATAAAATTTTTCAAGGTTTCTATTGATGCTAAAAGTGAGTTTATTACAAAATATAATCCTAAGCACAAGAAATGGTCACTGAAGTAACAAATAAAGGAGAATAATTTTTGAGTACCATTAAATTAAAAAGGTAAGGAGTTGCAGGGAATGTCATGATTAAGTATTCAGAGATATTATGAATATAATCCCTTTAGGGTGGCTTCAGTAAATACTCATTACACCATGTTCCCTCTTATTACTCAAATATATCTACCGATGGAACCACAGAACTGTACATTCCAGCATGTAAGTGCTATAATATACATGTTTCATTATAAACTTGTTCAACAAAAAATAGAAAGGATTATTTTGTTATACAGCACCATCCATGTGGGGGAAGTAAAACATCTAACAAAATTTGAACACTGTTCCTGCCATCATATTTAACGATGCTTTTCGCAAGGGATTTGTAAGTTAAATGGAACATACAGTTAACTACTTTATGTCATCCTACATTAGCTTGCTGCTTGCTACGTAGTCTAGATTCAGTTCCTGGCAAATAAATTATGAAATTTCTTCTTCACATCCACAACCAGAACAGCAGATCTGGAGCCACTGAGTCACCTATCAGATGGGAACAAGACCCCTTTCTCTGTCTGATACCAGACCCTCCATCTAGTGTCGTGAAGCCTTACCTGAGAAATGCAGGTAATTTTACTTTTTCCTGTGAGATAATACAATGCATAAACCATTTCTCTAAGCAAGAATACTATCTTCTGGGACATAATGCCATGTAGTATGTTAAAAGTCAACAGACGTTTTGGAGAAACATATCGCTTCCATCTTCAGGGTCAAATAAGCTGAGCAAGATACCAGTGTGAAAGGGGGTGACAAGCTGAGTGAACAGCTGGTCAGAAATGTCAGACTATACAGGAAACAGGAGGGAGATGGAAGAGTAGAGCTCAGTTACCTCTGGCTCGCTGTTTCACTTGTAGTCCAGACACATAACACAATAGAAGAGACACCCAGCACCATAAAGTATACAAGGGCATAGATGGGTCTATACATCAAATATTAAAATCATAAACAGAGGCACAGCAGTTTCCACCAACAATTTTTAAACACATGATGATGACCAATGTCAAACAGAACAAGTAGTGCAATATACAGAAGCTTCTAAATAACATTTAAAAGATGCATTATATGTATGTAAGCAGATATACGTTCTAGAAGGCTGTATTGCATGTAAGATGGTGAACCAGTGACATTTGTTGAATAATAAGTGATATGCAACAGGATGCTACAATATAACATTTCTTTGAGTTGCTTGTATAGTTAGGCACTACTCAACTATCAGTTTCATTTTCAGGGTGAAAGGAAAAAAATGTGTCTCCTAAAACCTCTGTTACTTTAATGTAAACTTCACATTCACATGATGCATCCAATTTTAAGAAATAATGCTCTGGCAACTAGATCATGGTGGTATAACCATAATATCTGGAGTGGGGAAATGCCATTAACTAATTGAATTAAAGTCAACTCATGACAGCATAACAATTGCTGTCTAGGAATTTCCACTATCAAAATACTGGATAAGTGAGTTCACATTTTGTAATACTGTCCTTAAGCACCCTCTTGCATTGATATTACAGTTTTGTACACATATATGCTAAGATTGTTTCATTCTATGCTCTATTTTGTGATACACGTCTAAAACAGGTGCTAATTTTTAAATAATTTGTTCATAGAAATAACTAAGGGTTCTTTTAAAGTTCATTAAAATATATCCATTAAAAAAATTCTGTTGTGCTGCATTTGGTGCAACAGTGTGAATGTTATGTTTATTATTATACTGTAGCTGTGCATGTAGTCGTCTATGTAGCGTCCATATCTATATGTTATGTTTGTTACAGTGGCTTGTCTAGGTGCAGCTCCCTATTGTGTTGGTTGCTCTCAATGTGTGGAAATTAATTTAAAAAATTAACTTAAAATACAAACGTGTGACATAAAATGGAGCATACAGTGAAATTATTTTAGCAGGACTCACATATACCTGATGATGGTCATATATGGCTGAAACATGTCATAGTAAGACAAGATGTATATCAGACAGAAAATAAATGTTGCATTTAAAATGGTAATACATGTGTCCAGAACTTCTCATTTAGTTCTTTTAACCTTTACGGTACAAAAATTTGGCCAGCAACCCTCAGTGGCCCAGAGTTAAATGGCAGAATCACTGTTATGGGTGTGTGCTTTTTTTATTTAAAAATGCATACTTATTTACTTACTCATGAAGCTGAGTCCTTCTGGAGGAACCGCCAATTCTGCAGCTACTCAAAAAATTCCCAGCATTTTATGGAACCTGAAGGTTCAGTACCATGTTCACAAGATCCCTCCACTGGTCTCTAGCCTGAGCCAGATCAATCCAATCAATACCATCCCATCCTGTCTCTCTAAGATCCATTTTAATATTGTCCACCCACCTACAACTTGGTCTTCCCAGTGGTCTCCTTCCTTCTGGCTTTCCCACCAATATCCTATATGCATTCCTCTCCTCCCCCATTCATGCTACATGCCCTGCCACATCATACTCCTTGACTTGATCATTCTAATTATACTTGGGGAAGAGTACAAGTTATGAAGCTCCTCATTATGCAGTCCTGGACTGAAAATTTCAGGCATTTCCTTTCTGTCATAGTGGATTGTACCACAAGAACTTACTGTTCTGTAATGAAGATTGTGAGAAAGTTGTGGAGATAAGAATTATGCATGTACAGTTTATGGCCCTCATTCTCCACCCTTCTAACTAGTTGTTATACAGTACCATATGTTGCAGTCACATTGCCTAGAGCATCTTCATGGTGCTTCCATAAGTACAATTTAATGTCATTGGTCAAATAAGTTGTATAGCTTTACATAAAGTTCTCCTTTCTTTGAAATAAACTGGCAGAAAAACATCTTGCCATTGAAGTTTGTAATTACTTCTTTTATCATAAGGTGCTTGGTAAGACTGTATACTTCAGCAGATTTGGCATTCAGATAGCTGAAAACTCTTCTGAATTTCCATAGTATATGATAATCTTGTTTCTGCTTGCTGGGAACATGTTCGTTATTTTAAAAATCTAGAAAGTGGATGATATATAAATAACTACTCTACCTCTGAACACATGAGTATGGCATATTGGATCCCTAGACTAGTATTGTTTCAGTGTATTTCATTGGTCGTTGCCCATCTTCACAACCAAAGTAAGAAGGTGAAACATTTCTCCTAGTATGACATTTTAAGGTATTAGATTTTCATCACTTTTTGCAGCATAATGCTGATGACAATAGCTGTTGGCTTCTTGAACAAATATTACCATCAGTTAATGTAAGAAACAGCTTCAGCATTTCCAAGGCTGTAGAACTGCACACAGTATTTGGGGTTACCACTGCCAATGATATTTCATCTTCTGTATCTGCATCCATTTATAGCTCCCTCTTCATTGCCATGTCACTCATAAGTGAATGCTTACAAGTAGACAGCCTGGCCATAGCTAACCATACAGCAAGAACTACTGAGTACTAGCACAAGTTGCCAGTTTCTCTAATTAAGCTGGGCCTAATTTCACAATAATCCCTCACTGAATTTGATTTTCCTCTTACAGTGCATTTACAGTGCAATAAAAACAACAGATTATTCTAGTGAGTATGCTTTAATTCTCAGGATTTTCTGTCAAGTATAGGTTAAAAAAGAATAAGAACTAACAGCTCTTGCAGCAGGGTTCATACCTTGATTTACTGTAAGGAGTCCAACTGTTTGGGATTGTAACCATAAGGAAAACTACAGACCATGTTATACAATGGACTGTTTGCATTTGATCAACATTTCACTGCTGGCCATTAACTTCAGTGCAGAATCAAAGCTGTCATTCAACCTTTAAAGGATAACTTTTATACCAGTTTGTTTAATGCATAGGCATTCACAAATAATCTGTGCAGTTAAGTCAATTTTAGGCCCTATAATCAAACTGTTCTGCATCATCTCAAACATCAGATATTCTATTCTCTTTAGTCTCTTCAATTACAGCTAATTTCTAAATGATTACTCACCTTCATTAAAACAGATTCGCTTAGCTTTTCCCTGTTAATGATTTTAATGGCTACCTTTCTGCCCATTACACAATGGACTCCTAGCTTCACCAGCCCTGTGAACAAGACACTAAATTACTTTCTTTTCCTGCAATCAAAAAATACATGTGCCTAAGCGCACATTTTTAAATTAGCAAAGAACAAAATAAAAAGGTGATATTCTCTAGTCCACTGTATAGTAGGTCATTTATTATGCAAGTAGTCTGAACAGGATACTATAATTTCTATACATTGGCTTCCAACATATTAAATGTTTAATGTCAACAGAGGTAGGAGGAACTATTACTTTCACTTTCCATCATATAAATTCTAATGAAATTTCATTATAACAGCATGTATGTTACAAATTATGCTGAGGTTTTCATGCTCACTAACTAAAAGGCAATTTTATTATAATATTGACAAAAAAGAATTTGTTAAGGGTAACAGAAGCTTTCCTATATGATGGAATGCATTCCAAAAACATGGTTTTAATATGGGCTATCATAAATATAATTATATTCTAGTCTTTTGTAAAATTGGTTCCCCATATTACACAAACATATCCTTTTATATTTTATCTCCCCATATGATGGTGATTTGGAACAGCATAAAATTGTTATTTTTTTGGGGGGGGGGTTCCAGAAAGTGATATAGTGAAGAATTATCAACTCATAAAGTTGTAAATAGGTCAGATATTTGGCTTAGAAACATCACAGTTCCTAATATATTCTTTTTATTTTCTACAAGTACAATTCCATTTTAAATTTTGTGTTCAGAAATATCTAAACTGTCAATTCTGGTACCACAGGCTTTCCTCCAGCAACTGGTAAAATTTTTTATACAGAATTGCTGCAACTTTATTTACACAAGCTGTTCCAGAATTATAGGTGTGGCTAGAAAACTCTAGTTTTATTCCTATACATGTGTATCTTTGAAGTCTTTAATCTGTAATATCACTTTTAAAATATGTACTCAAGTTACATGTTTTCAGGTTTGAGGTTTTCTCACATTGAAGTCTGCTGGGCTATACACTGTATGGACTTATAGGTGGATGCCAACCATTCAGAGGAATTTCCTAATTCCTTTTCAAGGTCAAGCTGAGCAGTGTTTCATATGGCCACCAATTATACTAGGGTCATGAGGATCAACAACGGATCACACAGAGGTAATGACCCTAGTGCCTTATGGGGGAGAAGAGATCCAATTCTATTTTGGGCAACGGGAATGGTTCAAACCACCACAAACTGCATTAGCAGGGTGCTACCCATGCAAAACATAAAACATACAGACAACAGACATCCCATTAAGAAACATTTCACTGGGTCATCATAAGGAAAATAATAGGGTTCGAGCGCCACTGATTAGCACGAACAGAGAAGTTGGTTTCTCCCTGACCTCACTGAAATCTCTCCATGGTTCTTATCAAGGACATGACAGTTACATCCAATTGATACAACACTCCTCTGCAATGTCTCACAGAAGAGCAACTTTTCTTCCTTTCCTGTGGAAGGTTATTTTTATACATCTCTCATAATTTCCTACATATTATTCCTGCTGGCTCAGACTGGGCTCTATCTCCTCTCCAATCCCTGGGTCTTCACGGGCTGCTGCTTCCATGTCCTCTATTGTTGAGCCATGTCACCCCTCTGCTAATCTGGACATAGCTAACCTTACTAAATTCTTCACTGAAGATGAACAAGAGAAGGTTCTACAAAATGCCCATATGCATCAAGACTACACAATATCACATCTGAAAAGACTTCCACCTGGGCATCTTACCAAGTCTTTTCAGTTCTGGTTGTGGTCTTCTACACTAAGGCATTAATTATCCTCTGATGTACATAAATTCCTCGGCTGCTGTTTTTTAGGAACATTGAACTTACATTAAAAAGATAACTGTCTTCTGTGAAGACACAATGTGTAGTCTAGTAGATGGTTACTGATGTTTCAGAGGAACCTGATCCCTCCATCTTCAGGATACTGACCTGAAGACTGAGGCAGTCAGATTCTCCAAACGTTGGTAACCACCTACCAGACTATACGGTGTCATATACCGGAAGACAGTATCTTCATTCAGTCCATGTGAACCTCAAGTTGCACATGAATGACATTAATTCTGACACATATTTTAATATTTTTGTCACTAAATCAGTATTGCACACATTTATTACTTTATACGTGCATTTTTCTACTTTTCCATGCCATTAGTGTTTTACGTAACCTGTTCAAGTAACTTCAAATATACTGAAATTTGTCAATGAACGTAAGTGTTGCGGGTCGCTCTAATTGTAAGGAGTTTTCATCCCCCGTTTTACAAATGGAGACGTAGCTTGTGCCATTGGAGTGCGAGCTTAGCTTATTATTTCGTACGTCATGGGAAGGACACGGGGATTTATTTTACCTGTCTGCCCTTTGCCAAGGGTTTTTTCGAGCCTAAAGGGCCCAACATACTGCTGGTGCTCGACCACTGTGGGATTATGTTCCTTCTGCATAGCTCACGCGCACACAAACAACCCTTTTTGCTTTTCCTTAGTTATCCCCCTTCATCCCTTGCCACAACACCACTTCACACATTACAAAAAAAACATATTTTAAAATTATATTTAAGTCCTAACGTATCCGTCATATTCGTCCTCTATCCGTCACAATTAAAGTCCGGAATGTCGATGAACAACTGGTCGACGCCATGTTGAAATCATTTTATGCCCCCTTTTCGTTCCGCTCCTTGCCTGACCAGCCTTCTTCCTTCCTTGTTGCTTATTACCGGGCAGACGCAGAAGGGTCGTGAAGCAGACAAGGGAGCGACCGGGTGAGTAGTCGTAGGGGTGGAAAAAGTGATGGTGTGACAAGGATACGAGAGACGGGGAAAGAAAGAGAAATATTGGAGATTTGGGGGCAAATTCTATCTCTTCTCTCATTATTGCGCGATTCTGCGCCTACCGGCAGGCTAGCCCCTCCAGACTCCCGTTGCTGGAATACCAATATTCCATAAGCTAAAGATTGCGTGGGTCTATACATCCACTTCCCCATATGTCTTCATGTCGTAGTGCTTAATTAGTTAAGCACAGGGACAACTTAACCTTTACCTTTACCTTGACCTTTACAGATTGTTCTTAAAAATTGAGACCTCTAAGACGACGAGGGAAGGGAAGCAGATAATGAAGCTCACCGGGAAGTCCCTACTGATGCGACTGCTGCTGACAGCAGGGACTTACTCTGAGACAGTAACAGTGGGAGAGCAGAATTATACTTGGGTTATAAGTTAGATGGCCCGTATGCATCAACTTAGGCTACAAACCCTGTATCTCTATGGAAATTATTAAGCGCGTGAAACTAATTCCTTGAGAAGCTAAACTCTCAGCATTTTACATGGTCAGAAGGTTCATTATAGTGTTCAAAAAGCCCGCTACTGGTTTATATCCTAAGCCAGCTGAATCTAGTTCTCATCTTCCCATCCTGTTTGTCTAAAATCGTTTTAAAAATGTATCTCAGGAAACCCTAACCGTGTAACGTCACCGAAATGTATACATCCTAATACAGGGTTATTCAAGAAGAATGAACCGATTTTATGACGCATTGCTTCAGTTCCCAAGCATCGTCATGGAATGAGTCAGTGACCGTTTGAAAGAGGAGTTATCTAAGTTGTGAATGGCTGCCACAGGAGCGCTGAAGTCGCGTCGTTCTTCCGGCAACGTTCAGTTGTTCGTTTACCCTCGGAATGGCGAGTCCTCAGCAAACCTATCTCGATATGCTCCAAAACTGGCTCTTCACTTCACTGCAAGCAGATTCGCATGACTTCATGTTTCAACAAGATGGAGCACCACCCCATTGGCACCTGGTGGTCCGAGCTTTTTTAAATGAAAAAGTGCCCCAGCGATGGATTGGTCGGAAGGGGGCCAGAGACCTTGCTCTTTGTGCTTGGCCTGCGAGATCCCCAGACCTCACCGTGTGTGATTTCTTCTTGTGGGGATATGTAAAAGATCACGTTTATGTTCCACCGCTACCCACTAACCTCGATGACCTTAAACATCGAATAACAACAGCGATTAACTCAGTGCATCGTGATATGCTGATACACGCCTGGGAGGAATTCTCTTATCGCATTGATGTTGCCTGTGCTGCAGGTGGTGGCCACATTGAACACTTGTAATACAGGAAATAAAAGTTGATTGTGAGTAGAATACTTGTGACTTGGCTGGAGTTTTGTATTACTTTCCTTTAATAAAATATTGCGTAATAAAATCGGTTCATTCTTTTTTAATTACCCTGTATAACCTAATCAAATCAAAACAACCTGACCACACTCAGAATAACCCAACATTACATAATTTAATTTGGGGTTCCATTATCTTCATAACACTGGCATTATCTACAAGCACAATTTAGCTACCGATTATGAAAGCGTGATTCTCGGCCTGGCGCGAAATCAGAAAACCTAGTAAGAAGTTCATGATGACATCAAAATATTTTTTTTTTCCTTGGCACTACAGTCCCAGTGGGTCTAGGCCTACCTCCATGAACTCCGTTCACTTCGGTTTTTCTAGATCTTACACATACGGTAGGACTCCTTGGGCGAGTGATCAGCTAGTCGCAAGGCCTCTACCTGTAGACAAACACAGAAAAACGCACACAAACATCCATGCCCTGAGTGGGATTCGAACCCACGATCCCGGCTTCCGAGCGAGCGAAGACAGTGCATGCTTTAGACCGCTCGGCTACCGTGACCGGCGACATCAAAATATAGGAACTACGAAAAAAACCAAATGTGTCAAGAAAAGGTAGCTTATTCAGCTTTACGAGTAGATTTATAAGGACGTTTCATTTTTCTTTCACAGGCTGGTTACAGCCTATTAACTTTCAAATGTGTACTTTCCAACCGTAAGGGGTACGGGGGTAGCGTAGTTGGTTGAGACACTGTTACAAACCAGAAATTCGCGGGTTCGATTTTCGATGAGGTCATTGGATTTATCAATTGACCTAATTCTTCCAGATGCACCATGGCCCTAGGGTCGGCTCAGCCTGTAGTTTTTGGTTCTTTCTAGTTTCTCGAGGTGAGTTAAAACTGAGTCAGTTTGGTACGTCGGCCACTAATTGGCCTATTGTAGGCGGCGCCATAGCTCAAGCGATTAGTCGCTGGCTTCCCACAGCGGCGGTCCGGGTTCGATCCCGCGTCTGTTCAAGTGGGATCTGTGGTGGACAAAGTGGCGCTGGGTCAGGTTTTCTCCGAGTACTTCGGTTTCCCCTCCCAATCTTCATTCCACCAATTGCTCCACAATCACTTTCACCTATAATTTGGGGCTGGTACAATAGGCCAGAAGTGGCCGCAGTAAAAGGGACTTAGTTCCACCCCACTAGCAATAAAGAAATGGCCTATTGTACCAGCCAAGGATTAGGAGGATGATAACTGTGGAAAGAGAATTGGCAGGGAAACCCGAAATACTCGGAGAAAACCTGTAACAACGCAACTTTATCCACCACAAATCCCACACGACTTGATCTGGGATCGAACCCGGGAAGCCAGCGACTAACCGCCTGAGCTATGGTGTTGCCGACTAAGTCTCTAACAGAAATGAGTATCAGGAATCTTTGTGGGGGTAAAGGGCGGCCGATACGTAAGGCTGACAACCTCACTGCCATCTGTAAACAGACTGTCGAAATAATATGGGAGCCTCCATGTCTCACAACCATATGGACCTCCACGGCCTGTTACAGGAATAGCATTATCTTTACATTTATTTTCCAGCCATAAGACAGTACAGAGAACTTGTGTTATTAAAACTCGTGGATGGCGTCTGACTGTTAACTAAGTTCGGCACTACATACCATGAGGTCTCAGGTAAGGTGAAGGTAAAGTCGCTCCTGTGCCTAATTAAGTGCCACGCCATGAAGACGCATGAAGGAATGGATGTGTAGTTCCTCCATTTTTAAACTCAGCACTAGGTGGAGGTGAATAGATAGGCTTCATGACCTTGCAGCTTTACACCCAGGAAAAAACCCTCGGCACCAACTTGGAGGCTCGGTGTACACCAAAGCTGGTCGGAGCACTGTGGGGAAGAGAAAATTTCTTACCCTTGTCGGGAGAAGAATCATGGGCGTCAGCCAGTAGCTATACCGACTCAACTATCCCGGCTCCACAGTCTACTACAAATAAATAAGTTAGCCAACTCGCCGTCCGTCCATTACAGGTAAACGTCTTTCTATCGTTTGTTGCTGCTGAGACGAGTAGTGCTACCCGTGTCTTAGAATTTCTCCATGATGTGATTCGAGACCAGAACTTTCCAAACAAGGAAATTTCGATCTTATAGGAGTACAGAATATAGCAACATAGTTTTTTTTTAATTTCTTACTGTCAGGATCGTCATGTAAGAACGGAATTTGCACAGCATGGAATATAAACGGCGGAACCTTAAGGTAAGGGAGTGCGCCCTTCCCTTCAAATATTAAATATGGGATACGCCACCCTCTAGAAACGTCATGCACAAAACTAATTAAACCTATCATACAGCACGGAATACGTGATTCTTTTGTTGTAGTTTCAACATTCCCTTGCTGTCTCTGAGAAAATAAATTAAAAGCAACTGAAGAAAGTCAGTCAGTGTTTAAATGAGCATGGCTTAATTTTCTTGAGTCTCAGGAGACCAGACTGAGGTGGCTTACCGAAGATGATGATAATATTACTGTGACGTGGACGACGCGACTCTCGTAAAACACCCCCTCCCCCGTGGTGACGTAACAGGGGAAACCTCGTTTGCTATGCAGCAATAAACAACTCTCGGCAGCGTTGGCCAACAACGCCTTTGTAAACATGGCGTCACGCAACAGGGGAGCCCGTGCAGCTACTGTTGCTAGGCAATCGGTAAACACGATGTCACACAACAGTGAAAGCTATCACGTAATTGTTTTCTGTGTTGTCCCTGCCGATGCTAAATAAAGAGCAGCGAACACTATTCAGTAGGAAGGAGGGGTTGCCCCTGCGAGTCGTAGGTGGCGACGAAAAGGGAAGTCTCAAGTCTGAGACAGTAAAATATGGTTGCGAGTCCCAAGGGACTCAGACCTGACAAATATTGCGCTGGGGGCGAGCAGCATGTACAAAAGACAGACCCGTCCTCTCGTCAGAGAGGGCGCCCCACAAAAAACAAGACCGTAACTGTCAAACAGTAATAAATATCTGGTCATGATCCCCAAATGGGGCTCGACACCAAGACTTACTGACTGACTGACCGTCAGTCGCAATGTGACTTTGGCTATTCAGTAGTGAGTGATTAGTGAGTGAGTATTGAGCCAGTTACGAGTTACGAGCAGTTGAAATATAGCCGCCGCCGGAGACAGTTGAATGGATTCGCCGAGATGTAGTTGAACAGAAATTGAGATATACGATGGTGTATACTGTACTTCTTTTGGCTTATTTTGGACTTCACCCATCGTCTGGCATGTAAAAGACAAAAAGACAAAAAACACGAATTTTCGGAGACTGGATCTGTCTCCGTCTTCAGGTGGATATTGCAGGTTTATAATTTGAAAATGGAACCCAATCCTCCGTATAGAGGCAGCATAGCGCAGTCGGTATAACAACTGGCTAAGGGCTGGACAACCAAGGAATCGGAGTTTGAGTCCCGGTGGGACTACAATTTTAAATTCTCTGTGTCGTGCAGACAGGATGTGTGGTCCACCCAGCCTCCTATCCAATAGGTACCGGGGGTTCTTTCCCCGGGGGTAAAGCGGCTGGGGCGTGAAGCTGACCACTCGCCTCTAACTAGTACCGCGGTCAAGAAAACGTGGATCTATACACCCAAGCTCCCATACCTCTCAATTACGTAGTGCTTAATTGCTTCAGCACAGCGACAATTTTGCCTTTTTATTTTGTGTTTACCTTAACGATCTGGGTTCACCATAGCGCGGGATATTACGAAAGTGGGCCTGTCACGTAAATGGAAGGTCATTCAG